AATATTAATTATAATGATATGACATTAAAACAAATTTTTTTATTATTCATCATTCTACATGCTCCACTCTACATGCTCTTATGTTGCTGATGTCAATATTTATTGTGAATTCATATTTGATTATCAAAAAATTTCAGTTTGAAGTTGTACAAAGAAATCTTAGGTGACCTTTCAATTACTTTACGTAACCTACTCCATATCTAAGATCTTTGATAAACATGCATCTTACTTTTGACCAAAGATTGCTTTCGGGCCATTTAATTAAGTGATAGTCTATTGGACATCAACACATATTATATCAAATTATTTTTCAATTCTTCACCAAGTCCGGACTGAGAAAACAGACTTTCATTTTTATATACCACGAAGAATATATTAATGGGAATTAAACCATTTGTGCGAGTTCTCTCTCATCTTTCTCCCCGATGGTAGACATGAGAGATTCAACTACAGTGGCTCAAATTGTGGAGATTGTGAAGATGCTGGTCGAGTTTCATCCGCTATTAACGGTAACTGGTGTTATTTGTCGGGTAATACTTCTACAAGATTGGATTGAAGAGGAGGTTAACATTCAATGGAAAGCTCTCAAGATGTATTGCCAATCAACAATGAGAGCTTTGCTATATCTTATTACTGAGAAGATGGAGAATCTATCAAAAGCCCTTCAAATGCATCTCAACAATGAAGCGGTAAAGGGTCAACCGAAGGCCAAGCTAATTGGTAAAATAGCCCTATTCTCTGCCACATTTCTTATGCTTGATATAGAGTTTAGTTCAAAATATGATAAAAAAGGGAGCAAAACGAAGTTATTGTTGTTTATTGGCCTTGACCTACTAATATCTTCAAAGCTTTGGTGCCAACTAGAAATTTTTCGTGGAAAGTGCAGCTACATGGCAAATTCCACATCAAGCTTCACCTTCTTTATTCTAGCAATTGTTTTTCAAAAATTTTATGACAATTCCCTTAGGAGCCTCGGTGTTGTATTGTTCATCGCAATTTTCTTTTTATGTCTATTGGTGGTATTGCAACCACGAACAGATCTCGGGTTGTTTAGTTTCATCATTGGGGTCATTGGATCCATTACTTATAATTGCTTCAAGTTTACGTCTCCCACGTGGATAGTTGCCTTCATCTGTTTTGTGTTGTTTAGTTTCAAGAGCTGGTTAGATAAGTACTGGTTGGAATTGGAACAACATCAATCACTGACCTCTGAAAATACCCAAGCTAGAAGCACTAGTGTGATTTTGTCAGCAGGCGTCCGACTTGCAAAGTTAAGCTTTGTAGCTTCTGTTGTCAAAACTCCCTTGTCCAACTATAAACTCTGGTTAGCTAGGTCAATTGGTTCCGTGGCTTGTAGTCTCCGGATCCATCAGATCTATCCCAAAGATACCCCACTGCCCTCTGAAAACACCAAAGGAGTTAGCAGTTCAATTTTAACTATCGTAAATGTTGCACAAGGCATGTTTTGGTTTGCTATAGGCGCATCTCCCATGGCAGATTATAAAGACTGGTTATTTATGATGGTCAGTTATATAATTTTCTGTTTTTGGTTAATAAGCTTTTTTCCAAAAGATTTGTTACCGCCTTCTACAAATACTAAAGGAATTACCGGTATGATTTTGTCTTTCCAATCTGTTGTGACATATGGTATTATGGTGTTGGTTGGTTTGGAACCTCGCCTATATTGCAAAGATTGGTTAGCAACGATAATACGTTATATACTTTGGTGGGTTCAATTAGGTGGGTCTATTCCCAAAGATCTGGTAATGTCCACAATTGAATTTAATGCTCTACAATGGTGGATAGCACTTCTATGTATCACAATATCAGATATCATATTTTGGATCCATCAGTCGACAACAAGCCATTAACAAGAAGGATGAAAATCTTGCATACTAAGGTAAGTACTTGGATATAAGAAAATTTTTATATTAATTCCAGTGAATGACATTTATCTCTGGCCTCCACATTTGTCGATCCTCAAAGTTTTGGCATTATTTCATTCTGCACAATATTAATCTAACTGTAAGTTGTTGCTCATCATTGCCTTAACTAATTTCAGACAAATTTTACTCTGACATTGGTTTAGGTTCTTGCGGGTGCCGTATAATGGTAGCATTGCTTGTGAGAAATTTCAATAAATTGAGTGATGGTGGACGGTTGGTGTCTGGTATTAGTTTTTCACAATTTCACCTGTACATTTTCTTTGAAGCTGGTAAAACCCATTCATGACTATCTCAGGCTTAGCTATGGTATGCTTTCATTTACTCGTTCAACCTTGAGCCTAGACATTTGAAGATCCTTGCAGTTTTGCTTGGATGAAACCGCAATTCAAAACACAACAAATAATTACTTTGTTGTGGTATTATCTCATTCTGTAAAATGAATTTTGTTAATCTACAAGTAAGTTTCTGGTAATTATTTCCTCTCTCCCATATCAATTTTAATGTCATTTTACACTTTGGTTCAAGTTCTTAAGACCAGTACAAAGTAGGAATGTAATGACTTTTCATCAATTTAGCTCATTTACGTTTACACTCTGTGAAGTCTGATAATTTATTGGTGGTTGTTAGGATATTCTCTGTTCTGACCTCTTTGGCGTGATAGACGGTAGGAGTGCCCTTATGTTACACATGTAAGTCTTAAGTCAAGGTCTACCCAAATACATTATTTTGCTTTAGTATGTTACAACACATGATGCCCGTTTCTTTACTGTTGGATAAAGCCATCTTCCTACATTTGAAAAAGCATCCACTTGTGGACAACAAAATTTCAAATAAGAAAAATGTGAACATGACTTCGTTGTTAATAAAGAAAGTGACCATCAAATGCGAGTATTAATCAAAGTCCACGGAA